TCTATTTTTCCAGAGATTAATATTGTCACTCCTTCTTTTTTGGTTACTGTTTGCTCAATATATTTTTTTCCATCTTTTGATTTTTAACCTTTGCATTTGAGATGTGTCACTTGTAGTCAATATATTGATGGGTCATTTTTTTAAAAATCCATTTTTTCACTCTTTGTCTCTTGACTTCTGCATTTAAACCATTTACATTCAGTGTGGTTATCAATAGGTATCAATGTACTGCTGTCATTTTCTTATACTTTGTGTGTTGATGATGGTTTCTTTGTTCCACATAATTTGCAATGCTGATTTGTTTGTTTCTAGATTTTCTTTCTATTTCCTTTGCTGTTAAATTTGAGTTTATTGAGTCTTTATATTTTCTTCTTTTTTATTTTGGCATGGAGATTTATTAATTTTCTTTGTGGTTACTATGAGATTTACCTTTCTCTTCTTAAGCTTAATTTTTTGCTATCTTTGACTTCCTCTCCATATGAGCTCTGGTTATATAGTGCCTAAGGTATTTGACTGCTAACCAGAAAGCACTCCTTGGAAGGAAAATTGGGCAATCTAATTTTGTAGAGATACTGCCTTGGAAACCCAAGGAGGGGTCACTATGAGTTGAATTCTACTCAGTGGCAGTGAATTTTTTTAGTCCTCATATACAACTTCTATACTACATCATTTATTTCCCCTTTTTATTTTGAAATTGTTATCATTTGCAAATTAACATCTCTGGTTTCCTGTTCTGTAGCTATATTTCACTTTGAGATTTCTTTGTCTGGGTTGGTATCTGGGTGATGCTGTCATGTATCTTACTCTCAGGTTGTTGTTTGATGTTGGTTCTCTGTCTGAAGGACTTCCTTTAATATTTCTTGAAGTTGGTATGGTTTTTACAAATTCTCTTAGTTTCTGTTTAACTTGGAATGTTCTAGTTTTGTCACCATATTTGAGAGATAATTTTGTTGGATATATGATTCTTGGTTGCCAATTCTTTCGTTTCAGGGTTTTATATATGTCATCCCATTATCTTCTTTCTTGCATGGTTTCTGCTGAGAAATCAGAGCTTAGTCTTATTGGTGCCCCTTTGTATGTGATATTTTGCTTTTTTCTGAGCTCCTTTCAGAATTCTTACTTTGTCTTTGGATTTGGAAAGTTTGATTATATGTCTTGGTGACTTTCTTTTGATGTTTATCCTGTATGGGATTCTTTGAGCTTCTTGAAGGGAAACTTTCTTGTCTTTCATGATATTCATGAAGTTTTCTACCAGGAAATCTTCAATAATTTTCTCTGTGCTTTTTTGTTTTTTGTTTTTTGTCTCCCCCTCTTCTGGAATTTCAATCATGTGTAGGTTATTCCTCTTGATAGTGTCCCACATAACTCTTAAGTGGTCTTCATGTTTCTTTTTTCTTTTTTTTTTTTCTGATTTTTCCTCAAATAGATTAGTATCAAGGGATTTGTCCCATATTCTTCTGATTCTATCTTCCATTGATTCAATTCTGCATCTATGTCCTTCCACTGAGTTATCTATTTCTAATATTTTATTGTTAATTTTCTGGATTTCTAGTTGCTGTTTTTGTATGGTTCTCAATTGCCTATTTATTTTGTCATTTTGTTCTTGTACTGTTTTCCTGAATTCTTTTGTCAGTGTTTTTCTTGGATTTGTCTATGATTTCCTTGATCCCTTTGTGGATCCTATATGCAATTCATTATCAGATATTTCCATTACCATTTCTTTCTCAGGAAGGTTTTCTGCTCCTTTATTTTGGTCTTATTTGAACCATTTTTTTTCTTCTGCTTCTTTATATCATTTGATATTGACTGCTGTTTGCAAGATATTAAGGCACTGGTGAGGTGCTAGCAGTTAGTGCATTCTCTGGTGGTCAGGGTAAGATGTCTTTGTATCCATTTGTGGTTCAGGTCTATGTGTGATTTTGTTAATGTGTTTTAGCTGTGCATGGTTTCCTCTCATTAGTGGATATGGTGGGTCACACACATGTGCAAGCCTTCTATGGTTAGGCTTGTATGTCTTCCCCTACTGGATTGAATGTAGGTGGAATAACAGGCTCTTTCCATGATATTGGATGACAAGTATTAGGCAGTCTGGGTACTTCCAGGGCCCTTGGGGGACTATAAGGTCCTTCCAGGTTCATGCTAGCAGTTAGTGCATCCACTGGAGAGCAAGACAGGTCATCTTCATAGCCACATGGTGGCAATGGCACAAAAATGGATGGGGTAGCCCTTTATGCAGGCACAAACTGGTGTCTCAGTTGGTTGTGGAAGAACAAGGTCTCTCAGTATATGTGGGTTCAGCTTGTAGGGACTGGCTGTGTGTAAGATGGGTGTCACTGCAGTTGGGCAATCTCTGGGTGTCAGCACAGGGATTTTTGTTGGAGTCTGTCAGGATGCACCTGGTGGTCAACGGTGGTAGAGTGTGACTACCAAGCTGTACTGGATGGTTGTTGTAAGAGTGAACAGGGGTGTGTCTGCTAGTCATTGGGCTAGGGCATGGAACACACCTATTGGCTGCTGGGTGATGGCACCAGGTGTGCTTCCAGTTACTGTGTAAGTGTTGAGAAATCACACCAGTCACTGGGCAATTGATGCAGGTGCTTTCTCACTGGTCTCTGGTTGTCAGGCTACAGGTGTACTCTCATTAGTCACCAGGTAATGGGAGCATCTGTGCTGATCACAGGGTTGCAGGAGCATTCATGCCAGTCAACAGGCAACAGGTATATTCCCACCAGTTGCCAGGTTGCAGGTGCATTCCTTGCTGGTCGCTGGACAGTGGACACATTCCCACTCAGAATGCAAGTGTGCTTCCACTAATTGCCCCATAGCAGGCATGCTCTCACACTCCCACTGGCCACTGAGCAGCACATGTGCTCCTCTTTGTTGCCAGTCTGCAGGTATGCTCCCTCCAGTTGCCAGGCAGTAAACTTGTTCCCACCAGTCTCTGGGCAACAGGCGTGGGGCTGGTCATGCCAGTCGCTGGGATGGGTGCAGGGTGGTTCTCCTGCCTGGCCCCCCAAGCAATTGAGACCTAACCCATTTAAATGTGTGTGTGTGTGGGGGGGTGCACACTGGGTTGGGGACTGTAGTTGCTACTCTGCAGTTACACTATTCAGTAGGCCAAATGGTTAGGCACTCCTGCTGGTGAGTAGACACTTCCCTGGTTCCTGGCTCCTTCCCTTCTCCGTGGTTGCAGGATTACTGGAGCTCTTGCCAGTCTTTCTGTACTTTCCATTTTAGCCCTGGTTGGTGTCCTGCTCATCTTGTTCCATTCCGAGTTTATTTACACAATATCTTTTTCTCCTGTTGCGAATTCTGTGTAGTTGCTTTCCTGTGTTTCTCACTCAGGAAATCTGCCCTCTTTGTCCCAAGATGGCCACACTGTGCCAAGCCAGCTGGCAAGGCATTGAGGATCTCCACACTACTGTAGGGTTTTTTTTTTTGTTTGTTTTTTCATCTTTCTTTCCACTAGGTGCTCAATCTAATTCTTTACCCTTCTGCTAGATGCTCAGCTTCCAAGGTTGTCATCTGGATCTGATTCACTTGGTTTCTTTAGACACTGCTGTAGGGGGATGTGTGGGTGCATCAGTCTAAGTTGTTGTCTTAGGCTCCATCCTCATTACAAGCACTCTAGGTCTCATAAAAAATACCTTGAAATCACCTATTAAACATACTTTAGAGGGTATAGGGCAGGACTGGCTACATAATTTGCTAAGCCCAGTGCAAAATAAAATGCAGGGCCCTTGTAAAAAGTTATGAGGAATTTTAAGAGTAACAACAGAGTGCTAAACCAAGCATGGGCCTGCTTCAGAGCATGGATCCTTTGCAGCTGCCCTGATGGCACCCTGCAGCCAGCCCTGGTGCTGAGCTGCAGGTCTCTGGATATGCTGCATTCTACTTCACCTTCACCATGGCTCTGTAAGGAGCAGGAGGATATGTGTGGTGGTTATGTTTGTGTGTCAACTTGACTGGGCCTGGTTGAGTGGGTGGGCAGCTGGTGGTAGTTATTCCCCATGATGAGACTGACAATCAACTTCATGGTGGGATCTACCACAAGCAGCTGAGTAGCTGCTTTGGTTATGTGGTCTGTTTTCCATATATAAGAAGTACCTTTGGGAATGGCCTCTAGCTTATGGCATGCTTGGACCCTCCATGTAGCCATGTCATTGTTCAGCAAGCCTGCCATGCTCTGCCAACCTTGGGACTTACAATGGATTTGAATTAATGGCCTTCCGTGTGGTTTGGTAACATCAGGACTGTACCTTTTTACTTGTCAACCTTGTGCTTGTCAATCTCAGCAGCTGTCTGAGTCAAGAAAAGCCTCTACCTCCAGTGGGCTGGGAGCAGGAGGCAGAGCTGAAGCCCAAGGTCGAGGGGCTTTCACCCAGCCTCTAGAGCCTGGCACTTTGAAGTTGGACTTCTAGCCTCCCGAACGTAAGAGAATAAATTCTGTTTGTTCAAGCATCCCATCTGTGGTATATCCTTGTCAGACTGGCACTAGGTAACCAGAACAATATGGCAATAAACTGCAAACTCTAGACCACTTAAATATCATCTTTGTGTATTTTTGGTATAACAAATCTTGTTTCAGATAACAGGGTATGACTGGGTCAATGTCTAGGGCAGCTTAAAAAAAAACAAAAAACAAAGAGAGAGAGAGACACTCTTCTGATTCTACAAGCTATGATAGATCTAACCTGAATTGGACCTTTTCCTCAGAAATGAGTCAGGAAGCCCATCTCACCTCTACTACTCTCTTGCAAAGATACTATGAAACAAAGAATGATTTTATAAGAAATGCACTGAGGAGAAGAATCACAAATTCAGACCCCTTAACTTACCACTCATGTCCACAAATCAAGTGGTGGTTATTTGTGATCTGTCTTTGGCATTGTTTTTGGCAGGTTCATTCTTACTTGCTCATGGAAGGTGACAGAAATACCCTGAAGTAGAATATACTCTCTGCAAGGAACCAAGGATGCTCACAGCTCCTGTTCACTTACGGCTTGCGTTCTCCAGTCGCACCAAACAGTTGAGAAAATCATCGAAGCCCAGTTGGAGCTCCTCATCTGCATACCTGAGGATGATCAGCTGCAGGAGGTGACTACTCAGCTGGAAGCCTGTGGAAGGATGTGGGAGATCAGGACCCACCATATGTGAGCTCCAAGATGCTGCCTTCTCTGGGGCACTCCCCGGTGGGGAGAGGGGGAGCTAGTGAAAGGAAGTAAATGCCCTCCCCAAATCACAATCTCCTTCAAACCAGGGAAGAGGCTGTCTTTGGGCTGAATATAGAGTAAGAGTTTTATTCTTTGTTAGAGTGGATGCATGCTGCTGAGGTCAATGGTGTACCCCAAAATGGTTTCTAAGTTTAAAGAGTTCATGGTCTTGGTTTTGACACCAACATAACCTGTGGGGTCTTCCCGACTTTTCAGGAAGCTTCACTGGGGACTTTCACATTGGAAGGTGTGTAATCCTGTTCTGCACAGTGTCCCCTGTAGTTCCACGTGAAACCCGTTCCTGCCTGGTCACACCATTGTTGGGTGGTAGAGGGCTCCAGCTGCAATCTCTGCAGCAGTGGATATTTCTCAAGGGCATTTGGTCCTATGATAGCGGGGCTTTAGGAGTGATATCACAGAAAGGTGCTTCTGCACACAAGGAGTGATCTGGGCAGTGGCTCTGGCACTATGGTAGATAAGAATGCCCGGTCAGGGCCAAGGGGCTGGGTGTCATCCAATACTGCTACTACTCTTCTCTGGGCTTCAGGGTCCTCACTTGTCAGTAAAGTAAACTTCCTTCTAAATAATACTTTGATTTTCAATCAATACCCTTATAGTGACTTTTCCCTTTCATCTCAGTCTACTTGCTCACTTTCTGGAATGTTCATAGTACTGTTTGGAAATCCACCAGGGGCTTCTGCATCCTCATTTACAATTAAGCCAGAGAGGTGGCCAATCAAAAGCAGAGCACAGTGTCTGGGGTTTGCACAGGGAAGCTGGATGCTGGCTGCTCTCCACTGGGCTGAGGAGGGTGGAGAGTGTGGCCACTCTCTTCATCAAGTCAGGAGAAGAAAGATTTGGTCATGTCTTCCTCTCTGAAGGCTCAGTCCTTCCTGCCTTAGAAATGGGGTTATGAGCACCAAAGAAACAGACTTCTTATAATCTGTGATACTTTTCACCTTTATAATTAACCTTATTTGCTTCCCATTCACACTGTGATGGTTAATGGTACATGTCAATTGTCTAAGCCATGATTCTCAGTGGTTTGGCAGGCATTAAGTCATCACCTTCCATTTCGTGATCTGACATGAGCAACCGATCTGTTGAAAGGGGAGTTTCCTTGGGGTTGTGGCATGCCTCCAGTATATAAATGGATGTTTTGGCAAATTTCACTCTCTCTCTCTTGATCCTGCATTCTTCTTGTTGTTTGACTTCTTGTTCTTGGGTTGTAAATCTGCAGAAATCTTGCAGATTCAGCCATCGATCTCACCTATACATTTGGGTTTATCAGCTCTTTGAGGTCATCAGTCTGTGTCCTGACTCATGGATTTGGAACTTGCCAGAACCCACAATTGAAAGAGCAATTTCCTCACAATTGCATGACCACTTCCCTGAAGTAAATTTCTCTCTCTATATTTATCTATAGATGCTGCACTGGTTTTGCTCCTCTAGAGAACCCAGATTAAGACATATACAGAAACCAGACTTTTTCAAAATGGTCCTGATTTTGTACATTGTGGACCTTTATCAGACCATGAAATTCAAAATGTTTCCAGATATCTAGCTTACCTGGGAGGGCATTCATTACCAACCCCAGCAAAGCCCTGGGCCTGTCTGTGAAGCAGGCCCTATAGAAGTCCAGTGCAGAGTGGCAGGGCTGTAGGATGCAGAGTGACCATCAAAACCATGACTATATGTGAAGAAAAGTTGAAACACAGACCCAAGCTGACATGCAGTGGCAGACAACAGGTTAAAGCCACCTAGAGTCAATCCTTTTCAAAAAGGAACAAGGTATATGACTGAATAATCTGATTTGGATCCAGAATCTGCTGCTGACAAGACTATGGACAGCCACACTACAGCAGTTGGGGGGTAAGTTATGTGAACTGGAGACCAGAGGTACACATTATTAGCCCAGAGAGCCACAGGACTGCTGCATGCCTCATATTCTTGACAAGCACTGTCAGAAAGCAGAGATTAGAGGGACAATCACAGAACGCTACCACAGAGTTGCACATAAGTCTGCTAACCGGAACGTTCCTGGTGATCAGGCTAATTTCATTTTCTTGAATACATTTTCAGAATTCCTACCAATGACACATAGTAGTTAAAATTGCTGGCCATGCAACCAGCAAATCCTGGGTATGAAATCTGCTCTGCCACTACCGGTGAGTGACCATAGGAAATGTAAACTCTTTGAGACCCAGCTCCTGAGGGACTGCTAGAAAGACCCACCCACCACATAGGCTGTGAGAACTAGGTGACAGTGGACAGAAAGCACCCGGTGCAGGACCTGGATACTGGTCACCTCAACAACCTTCTCAGGTGCCTCCTTACCTGCTGCTTTGAGTGCAATCCGTAGCTCATAGGAGGACATGGTGCCAGACTTGTCTGTATCAAACTGAAGGAACAGGTTCTGTAGGGAGAGGAGCAGAGATACTGAGAATGCCTCCTCGGTGGCAGGGAGAGTGACTGGAAGGATGCAGCCTTCCTAACCACTAGTAGGCAACTGCCCACAGGAGGAATAATTCCTTGGGGGCCCAGATGGGAGTGTTTGGTGAAGCACCCCAGAGATGTTGGTTATTTTTGGACTTTTTTGTTTTGTTTTTTCTTTGCATTTTGGAAGACACTCTGTAGTACTTCCTTAAGTATCAGAATTTTATCATAATGTCTTTTCTCATCCTTTTCTGAATACAAATCCTCTAGTGTGCAGCATCATGGCCTTTTAAACTCCACTACTGTTCTGACTGTGGCTGTTTCCCCATGGTCAAGCATTGAACATGGTTACATACAGTCCACTTCTTCAGCTTATCCCAGAACACTTTGAATTCACCAAATTCCAGTTTTCCATTGCCACTGGTCTGTGTTCACATGGTTAAGGAAGACATGAGCAGAGTTTCAATCAAAGGATCCTCATGGAACCTCATATCTGGGGACTTTAGGGGAAGAAATGAACCGGGAACTCTCTTGGCTGGCATATAGTTGTTGTTGATGTTGTTAGTTGACCGTGACTGATGGCAACCCCATACACAACAGGATCGGGCCATTATTGATCCATAGGGTTTTCACTGGCTGATTTTTGGAAGTGGATCGCCAGGCCTTTCTTCCTGGTCCATCCTAGTCTGGAAACCCTGCATAATAGCAACAAGAAAGCCTCCACTAACATATGGGCAATGGCTGCACATGGGGTGCACTGACAGGAAATAGAGCCTGAGTTTCCAGAATGAAAGAGGAGAATTTTACCACTGAGCTACAACTGGCCTAGGTGACACAAAATCAGGTCCCTGGTAAAGGGGTAGTAAAAGTGAGCATGTAGACTGTGATAAAAGGGAAAAGTCACTATAAAGGTATTGACTGGGAATCAAAGTGTTATCTAGAAGGAACTTTACCTTACTGACCAGTGAGTACCCTGAAACCCAGAGAAGTGTAGTAATAGTATTGGGTGATACCCAGGACCCTGGTCCTGACCTGGCACTCTTATCTACCACAGTTTAATTCTTAAACCATGGATCTTTGAAGAAAGGAACTGGCAGGGATGGAATGGGGATGGTGTTGGAAGGGTCTCAAAAACACAGAACCCTTTATGGCCTCAGATAGAGCCCCAAAGGGGCAACAAGATCTCACGTCCCACAAAAACTACCTTCCCACTGGATATCAAGGTCAATTGGCATAACATAGTCCACAAAGACAATATTCTACATCCTAATTTGGTGAGTAGTGACTAGGGTATTAAAAGCAAAAGTAGTAATGGACCACACAAACCCCAATCTCCATGACCCTGAGACCAGAAGAACTAGATGGTGCCTGGCTACCACTACTGACTGCTCTGAAAGGGAACACATTAGAAAATCCTGGATAGTGGAGGAAAAATGTGGAACAAAATTCAAAATTATAAAAAAGATGGGGCTTATTGGTCAGATAGAGACTGGTGGAACCCCTGAGACTATGGCCCTTAGTTATCTTTTAAGCCTGGAATTGAACTCACCCTGATGGTTCAATTTTCAGCCAAACAATAGACAGGTCTATATGGTGAACAGTAACACTAGGGAGGTACATACTATTTAGAATCATCAACCATTCATGATCAAAAGCACAATGTTTGCCCAAGAACAAAGTTCAGAAGATAGGAAAGATTAGGAAAGAAGGAGGAATGGAAACAGGAAACAGGGAGGAAGTAGAATGACTGATGTTACATTTTGGGGATTGAAATAAATGACATGAAACAAAATGTGTATGAATTGTTGATTGGAAAATTGATTTGCTCTGTAAAGTTTCACCCAAATAACAATAAAAAAGGTGGTGTTTTTTTTTAAAAGGCTTAGGAGTGGCTATCTAAAGTGCAACTATGGGTGTCTTCCCATCCAGAGCAAAGAACAGTGAAGAAAACCAAAGATGCATAGAAACAATTAGTGCAAAGGAGTAATGGACCACACAAACTCCATCCTCCATGACGATGAGGCCAGAAGAACTAGATGGTACCTGGATGCCACTGCTGATCGCTGTGAAAGGATCACAATAGGAGGTCCTGGAGAGAGTGGGAGAAAAATGTGGAACAAAACTCAAAATAATAGAAAAGACCAGGCTTATTGGTATGATAGAACTGGTAGAAACCCTGAGACTATGGCCCTTAGACACCCTTCAAGCCTGTAGATGAACCTCTGTGGCTCAACTTTCAGCCAAAGAGTAGACAGAGCTATAAAGTGAACAATAACACCAGAGATAAACACTCCCTAGAACAATCAACAATGCTGAGATCAAAAGGGCAGCATTTGCCCAGGAATAAAGCTCAGAAGGCAGGAAAGGATGGGAAAGGTGAGTGGAAATGATAAACACAGGGGAGGAAGTGGGAAGAGTGCTGTTACATTGTGAGGATTGTAATCAATGTCACAAATCAAATTGTGCATGACTTGTTAAATGGAAAACCAATTTGCTCTGTAAACATTCACCCAAATCACAACAAAATTTAAAACATCAACAACAATAATAAAACACTTTCCCATTGAATGGACCCATGTCTCAATTGATTCTGTTCCAATCTTAGCACAAGAGCTCTCTGTCTTTGGTTTTCCACAGAAAAGACTACCTTATGGTTAAGGATGTGACATTTTAGGAAGGTCTGTACCATAGGAAAACATTCTTCTGTGCAGAGAGCCCAGTATTAACATGCACTTCTGCCCAAGTCTTTGGAAGGATACATCCATTAGAGAAATGATGTTTTTACAGGAAATAAGGCTCAGCTTCTTGAACTTGATGTCCTTTTCTGAAATCACACATGAAAGAAGAATCAGTTGACCTTTGTCTGAGGTCAATCCATCCCATGTCCCAGTCTACTGAAGGCCTACTGTGGTCAGACCCTGCCCATGCTGTTGGTGATGCACTGATAAGGATTTCTGGAAGGGCAAAGTTGAACAATGTAGAAAAAGTTAAAAATGTACATAGTTTTTCATGTATTTATTCTAATTTTAAGAATCCCAAACAATCAGATAGGTATCCTAAGAATTTGAAATGAAGATTTTTTATCATTAGGTTATTTATAATGGTAAAAATTAAAAAAGATATAAGTGACCAGTGGAAGTGGATGGCCAGAAAATTTTGATGTCCTTTTAATGCCATATCATGAAGTCCCTGGGAATCATGTATTTGAAGGATATTTAGTAGCCCAGGGAAATGCTTATTAAAGTTAAGCTTAAAAGGGAGGATTTAAAATTGTTGGAGAAATTGAAACCCTTATACAGTGTTTGTGGGGAAGTAAAATGGTACAGCTGCTTTGAAAAACTGTATGGTGGTTCCTCAAAAGGCTAACCATAGAAATGCCATATGACCTAGATGTATACCTAGGAGAACTAAAAATACAAGTCCACACAAATACTTGAATATAACTGTTCAAAGCAACATTATTCATAATACCCCAAAATGGAAGCAACTCAAGGGTCTAGCAATTGGTCAATAAAATGTAGTATAGCCATATGATGGAGTACTACTCAGCAATAAAAAGAAATGAGGTTCTGATACATGCTACAGCATGAAAGAACCTTGAAAACATTATGCTGAGTAACGGAAGTCAGTTACCAAGGACCAGATAATGTCTGAGTCCATTTTTTTTTTTAAATGAAGTATACAAAATAGGCACCTCTATAGACACAGAAAGTAGAATTAGTGGTGTCAAAGTGCTGGGGCGGGGTGACTGCTAATGAATATGAGTGTTTTGAGAGGGCAATAAAATATTCTAAAATTGATTGTGCTGATAGTTGCACAACTCTGTGAACGTACTAAAAGCCATTTAATTGTACATTTTAAATGGGTGAATTGTACGGTATGTGATTTATACCTGAAAGCTGTTATCTGAAAAATAAAAAGAAGATTGTATCTACATTTGATATCATGAGTATGACTGTGTGTGTGTTTACACACATATGTGTTGTGGTTTTTATATTTATCTTTAGGCTATTCTGCATTTCTTACAAATTTTCAACAATGAACCTGTATTATTTTTGTAACCAGGAAATAAACAATGAAAGCTATGTCTAAAGTCTAACTAAAAGTCAGCCCTGGAAAGCAGATCTGAGTTCTATCGTAGGAGACCTGGTAGAGCTGAGGGGAACATAGGCAGCAGGTCTGTCACATGGGACCTGGGATGGAGCAGGTACTTACTGTTTTGTAGTACGGCATTTAAAACATATTCAAGTTCCTCTGCTGTCACCTCCATGTCCTGTGAAAGTGGAGACAATGACATTCTATGGCCCTCAGCACCTTATTTGTCAGCTTCTGCAGAGCCTGAACATCATTGAGTTCAAAGGATAAGGTGGCTTTCAGTACTGCTGAGGTGGTTGTTGTTGTTATGTACCATCAAGTCAGACCCGACTCATAGCGACCCCTCCTTGGATTTCCAAGGCAGTATCACTGAGGAGGTAGATTGCCCCATGACTTCCTTCTGAGGAGTGGCTGGTGGGTTTGAAAGGCCAGTCTTCTGGTTAACAGTCAAGTGCCTTAGGCACTATGTTACCAGAGCTCTCCTGCTGAGCTAGACGTGCCCAACTTTGTGTAGCTGTGGACACAAGGCAATGCTCCCTAAACTTCCCTAGAAGAAGAGTCACTTGTTGGATTGTCAGGAAAGCCCCCCACATGCTTCTTACATGAGAGAAAGTTTGGGGAAACTGGTTTAAGCAGGGGCAGATTATCCAATACCAAAAAACCAAACTTACTGCCATTGATTCGATTCCAACTCATAGTGACCCCCATTGGGTTTCTGAGATGGTAAAGCTTTAAGGAAGTAGATTGCCCTATCTTCCTTCCACAGAGCAGCTGGTAGGATTGAACTGTCAACCTTCTGGCTAGCAGTCAAATACCTTAGGCACTGTACCACCAGAGCTCCTTTAGCAAGGTAAACATGAGTTTACTTGTGCTTACTTACTAATCTGTAGTGAAATTGTTCACTACTGACTAATAAGTAAGCACAACTAGGTCTGTGCTTACTTTGCTCACTGGGTACTCCATACTTTTCAGGGACTATAAATTTGAAAAGAGGCGTTTGATTCAGTAGGAAGATTGGGAGAGACAGATGCCAGCCATATGTGGTGAAAAAATGTGAAATTATTCACTAAAGTTTAGTAAGTAAACACAAGTAAGCCCACGATTACCTTGCTTATTGGGTAGCCAAACACTGCCAAGTTTCTGCCCAGTATAATCACTCAGAGAGCTTTAAAAACTCTCATGCCTGGAGCCTACATCAGGGACCATTTCAACCAGAATACCAGAAGTGAGGGTCCTTGATTATTTTTAAAACCTCTAGAAGTGAATTTCAGAACCTTTGATCACTCCTGGAGCATTTGTTAGAAATGCAGACTCTCAGACTCCACCCCAGACCTCTTGATGCAGAATCTGCATTTTAACAGGCCTCCAAGTACTTTGTATTAAAGCATTTATTTAGCCCTGGTGGTGCAGTGGTTAAGTGCTCAGCTGCTAACTGAAAAGTTGGCAGTCCCACAGCCACTCTGCAGGAGAAAGATGTGGCAGGCTGCTTCTGTAAAGATTACGGTCTTGGAAACCCTTGGGGGCAGTTCTTCTCTGTCCTATAGGGTTGCTATGAGTAGGGATTGACTGCATAAACCAAACCAAAAACTCATTGCTGTTGAGTTGGTCCTGACTCATAGTAACCCCTCCTTGGGTTTCTGAGGCGGTATCTCTATGGAAGTAGATTGCCCATTCTTCCTTCCAAGGAGTGGCTGGGGGGTTTGAACCCCTGTGCTACCAGAGGCACTGTACTACCAAAGCTCCTAATGACAATGGGTAAAGGGTAGCACTGTCTTAGAGATTATTGTATCAAGGGTTTTGAACTAGCCATGTGAAACAGAATCACCTTGGGAGTCATTTTAAAGCTTGCCTGCCCAGATACCACCCTTGAGCATCTTGGGGAATGGGTATTTTGAATGGTCAGCCCCGAGACGTGCTGAGCCAGCCCAAGTCCCCATTTCACAGGAGGGAAGAGAGATGGAGTCTTAGAACCAGCATGCCTGAACTCCATTCTAGACGGGCATTTCTTCCTCTTAAATAAAGGTAAAGTGGATCTCCTGAAACATTCCCCTTTCCCTTTCCAAACCCTGGATCTTCATTTCTGGCAACTTCTGACCCTCCCTCAGTGAGCTCCTCCAACTCAGAGTCCTTCCTTGCTGGGTCTGACTCATCCCTTCTTATCATTCATTTCTTTCCTGCCCACAGCTGCAGAAAGAGTGGGTCAGGGTCATGTTCCTTGGTCCCCACTTCTCTACCCAAACTATAGAGACTCATCCCCCCTGGTTTAGGTATCACTCCCTCTAGAGAGCCTTTTCTATAACTCAGCTCCTTCTGGGTAGTTTTAGGAAACGAATGGAGTCATTGGCACCTGACATAAGTTTATCAGGCTAATTTTACTTGTGGCAGCCAACTGTTAGGCTCCAAGGGACTACAGAGGGCCAGTGTCTGAGAGGGAAGTTTCTACCACATGTCTCCCAGTGAGCTGAACAACAGGGAGGATGGGGAGTTGTGGGGGTGACAAAGGGTGTGAGGCTGAGTACAGACCTGCTCTCCTTTCTAATTGCCAGTGGCTGGCCCTGGGCTATCTTCCTTAGTGCAGCAGTTGGAGCTGCCAAGTGGGACACTCCTTTGGTGCTGGGAGATGAAAACACACTGCCTACCAGGTAAAGCATTTGCAATTTAATGGTGGCCTCCTCAAAAAAATACCACTTTTGCACAGACCAGGGCTAGCATCTTGATTGTAGGATTTCTGGACCAAGTTCAAAGGGGCATCCTCCTGAAGGCTTTCTCCAGCCTCCAACAGAAAGTTTCTGGGCATGTGTTGTGCTTCATTGGTCTCTATTACCCCATCAACAGGGACAGACTGGTATCAGAGACCTTTTGGACAGGGCTGTTTTTGGGGCCTCTCAAATGACAGGAGTTTTTCGTACTTTGCAACCAGACCCACTCTGCTTTGGACAGGCAGTGCTGATAGATAGTATTTGGTACATTCATTGCTGTGGAAGCAGACCCCTCAGACCTGGTTAGAGACAAAAAACCCATGGGCTACTATGAAGACTTGGGTGAGTGAGGGGGCTATAGGTGGTATGCGTGTACCTCGCCTGCAATGTGTTCAAACAGGATGCGCAACTGTTGCTCCTCCTCTGTCTCCTGGCTAGGTGAGGTTGGCTTCAGAGGCTAAAATACAAGCAAAAGAATTTTCATAAAAAAGAAACTTGCCAAGACATAGCAGAAAAGAAAAGACTTGGATGGGCTATGCTATTACACCCAAGTGAGAAGCTAGTGTTACTGGAGCTGTCAAGGGAAACGCTAACACCAATAGGATGGTGAAAAAAAGAAGACCTTTATTTCTGGGTGCTAGCACAGACTCAGTGGATTCACATCCAGAGACTGATCCCCAAACAAAGATCACATGGAGTTTTTATGGGGTCCTTTTTCCGGGTACTCAGGGTGAGAGGGTGATTAGTTACCTGCAAAAAGAGCACCCACAGCTAGCAGTTTTTACAGAAGTTAAACATGCCTGAACGGAAGTGAGGAGGGGGGAGTATGGGCAGAGGAAGAAGGGAGGGGGAGCAGGGCAGAGAAATTTTCCACTCTCTATACATGGTTTTTCAAGTCAGCCCAAGACGGATGTCTCTGGCCTCTCAACAAGTTGTTTCACTGCTCAACACAACTTCCCTATTTAGGTTGGGCAAAGGTTATAATTCCTTCATTCCCTTTCCTGCCTTACCTTTATCACCTTCTTTATGCAGTGTCCTCTGCATGTAGGATTAGGACTAGCAGTCTCAATTGCTTATGAGAGCTCTTTGGCATGGGAGAGTCTGGAAAGACTTTGTCTGACTCACTGAGCTCCCCTCACCTTACAGATGAGAAGGCTAACGGAAGCTTTCCTTGACCCTGGTGCTAAGTTACAGTCCTGTTCATGGAGTTCTCATGTTGTTGTTGTTGTTATTTGCCGTCAAGTCGGCCCCGACTCATAGCGACCCCTCCTTGGGTTTCTGAGGAAGTATCACTACGGAAGTAGGATTGCCCAACCTTCCTTCTGAGGAGTGGCTGGTGGGTTTGAACCGCCAGCCTTCTGGTTAGCAGTCAAGTGCCTTAGGCACTATGCTACCAGAGCTCCCTGTAATTTCTCTATCTTGACACTCACTACCCTTGGCTGTAACTACTAGTTTATCATATGCCTAATAGATGGTAAAATCTCTAATCTGTGCCTAATGCATAGTAAGAACTCAGGAAATGCTTGCTTGATTGTTTGTTTTTGGTCCATGAATAAACTGCAACCCAAAGAGGGCAGCAAGGAGCAACATCACCCTCCTAACAGTATACCATTGTTGATCTTGAAGTGATAAGGCTTTTCCTACTACACCTCAGTACCTCTTGAAAGTCTTACAACCCTTTTGACCAGAATAAAGCACCCCCCACACACCAGCATGTAGGGGAAGAGTAATGTTTTTCTCTGAGTCCACAGTAAAGGAATCTACTTATGTTTCTTGTTTCCTTTGTATCTATTATATTTCTTAAATAAAATACATTTGGAAAATATTCCATCTCCTTCAGAAGCTCCCTTCAAGAACGGAGGGAATTGGTGGTGTAGAGAAAGATCACGCCAATCAACTTTATACCAAACACTTACCTCATTTCCATGCTGGGTCCTGTGGGCTATGAAATTTAAAGGCACAAATCTTGTTTTCCAGGAGGTTAGAATTGAAGATTTATCTGAGAGTAAATAGCCATTCCCTGATCTTTAGAGTTTTAAATGACACTGGTTAAAAGCAACTTCAGAAGACTCACCTCAGGAAGTTCAATGTCTACATGTTCATCCATATCCCTGTGGGATCAGAAAGCACACTTTCAATTGTGGATTAACTTTCTAATGAGAGTTTGCAGAGTGAAAGGGCCTAGCTATACTGGGAATCTGTCCCATTGATGCCTTCTCTTTCAGTGACATCTCCATTTCAAAGGACTGTAGACCTCTTCTTTGACCATTGCTCTTATCCCATAAGGAAGGCTGTCAAGAGGAAGACCCATGTATCCATCACCACGGAGGATTTAAAATTCTGGACTTCTAGGAGAAGAGAAGTTGAGGTCTCATAATGGAGCTTTGTGACATGTTATGTAGAATTATAGAGCCATGGAGAAACTATGAGCAGAGCACTTGTCATTGTATATACACTCACTACCATAAAGTTTGTAACTCTAAAGCTGGTACACAATCCTAGGAGACCATTCAGCCTATTAAGGGTTAATCACTCATGGCAGGAATTAAAAAAGTTATAGAGCAAGATGAGTCAGAACCAAAAACACTAAAAATAAAAAACAAAAACTACCCTTGAAAGCTGCATCATTTACCCTCTCACCTCTTCCTATACTTGTGAATCCCCTACTGCACGGGGGTGGGGGTATGTGCATGTGCGTTTGCGTGATTATGTGTGGGGCAAAGAAGAAAAATAATGTTGATTTTGTTGGTCACATATGTAAGGGAATCTATAGGGCTTGTTGTTATAAGGAAGCTGAGTTGAATTATAGTTCAACGGCCCATCCTTTCTATTATTATTCCCACCTTGGTTGGAGACAGATGAGCGGGCATGATCACCCATTTCCTTAAGAGCTGAGCTGAAATAAAGCTCAATCCCCCATCCTTTCTGTTTTTATACCCCACTCTAGTTGGACACAAATGAATAGATATGTTAATGGGTTTCCTTAAAATTATTTTTCAGAAACAACTGATAACAACTTGAAATCAGTTCTGGCCTATAGACATGTGCAGTGAGACAAACAGGAGTGAAATTGCACAGAACTAATATCTGCATATCGCCTCAGAAACCCAAGAGGGGTTGTTATGAGTCGGTCCGACTCAATGGCACTTAACAAAAACAACAACAGCAATATCTGCATAAGTCCCAATCAACTGATGACAGGAAGTCAGTGTAACTCATTCAGTACACAAGCACACTGCATTAAAAATTGACTGTCCCTTTAAACTGAGGTGAAGGAAGACTCAGCCAATCCTCAGCTTATTCACGCCCAAATTCCTGAAATTTTTATGAATATGTATAAGCCCCTTTCCTGAACTTTATAAAACTGGATGCCAAGCCCAACTTGGGGAGTCATATTTGGGTACTGGCCCCAGTCTCCTTGCACTGATGATGCCTTGTAACAATCTTTCTCTCCTCTCAAGCACTCAGTATCAGTAAACTAATTAGGTTCAATTGCCCACTGGGCAGGGACTCATGTTCGTTCTTCCTTCAGTGAGGTGCGTTAAGTAGGCTCCAACTGATAGCAACCCTATGTACAATAGATGAAACACTGTCTCGTCCTGCACCATCCTCATAATCCTTGCCATACTTGAGCCCATTGTTGCAGTCACTATGTCAATCCATCTTGTTGAGGGTCTTCCTCTTCTTTACCAAGCATTATATCCTTCTCCAGGGAATGGTACCATTTGACAACATGATCAAAGTAGATGAGACAAAGTCTGGCCATTCTTGCTTCTAAGGATTCTGGCTGCATTTCTTCTGTGACAGATTTGTTTGTTCTTTTGGCAGTCCACATTATTTTCAGTATTCTTCACCAGCATTACAATGCAAAGGCATCAGCTCTTTTTTGGTCTTCCTTATCCATTGTCCAGCTTTCACATGCATGTGAGGCAATTGAAAATACTATGGCTTGGGTTAGATGCACCTTATTCTTCAAAGTGACATTTTTGCTTCTTAACACTAAAGAGGTCTATTGCAGATTTGGCCAGTGCAATCAAGTCTGATTTCTTGACTGCTGCTTTTATGATTTGGATTATGGATGCAAGTAAAATGAAATCCCTGACAACGTCAATCTTTACTCCATTTATTGTGATGTTGCTTATTGGCCCATTTGTGAGGATTTTTGTTTTCTTTATGTTGAGACGTAATCTATACTGAAGACTGCAGACTTTGATCTTCATCAGTAAGTGCTTCAAGTCCTCCTCACTTTTAGGAAGTAAGGTGGTGTCATCTGCATATCGCAGGTTGTTAATTAGTCTTCCTCCAATCCTGATACTATACTGCATTCTTCTTCATATAGTCCAGCTTCTTGTATTATTTGTTCAACATACAGATTGAATACGTATGGTAAAAAGATATAACCCAGACACACACCCTTCTTGATTTTAAACCATGCAGTATCCCCTTGTTCTGTTTGAACAAGAGACTTTTGGTCTATGTACAGGTTCCTCATGAACACAATTAAGTGTTCTGGAATTCCTATTCTTCCCAATGTTATCCATAATTTGTTATGATCCACACAATTGAATGCCATTGCATAGTCAATAGAATACAGGTAAACATGTTTCTGATATTCTTTGCTTTGAGCCAAGATGCATCTGATAACAGCAGTGATATCCTTTGTGCCATGTCCTTTTCAGAATACAGCTTGAATTTCTGGAAGTTCCCTAACAATATACTACTGCAAGCATTTTTAAATTATCTTCACCAAAATTTTACTTGCATGTGATACTAGTGATATTGTTCAATAATTTCCACATTCTGATGGATCACTTTTCTTTGGAATGGGCAAAATATGGCTGTGGTGGTTATGTTTGTGCATCAACTTAGCTGGGCCTGGTTGAGTGGCTGGGCAGCTCATGGTAGTTATTCCCCATGATGAGACAAGCAATCAGCTCCACAGTGGGACCTACCACAAGCAGCTGAGTAGTTGCTTTAGGGATGTGGTCTGCTTCCCGTATATAAGAAACAACTTTAGGAATGGTCTCTAGCTTATGGCATGCTTGAACCCTGCATGTAGCCATGTCATTGTTCAGCAGCCTGCCATGCTCTGCCAAACCTGGGACTTTCAATGGACTTGAATTAATGGCCTGCCATGTGGTTTGGTAACATCAGGACTGTGCCATTTTATTTGTTGACTGTGGGCTTGTTAGCCTCAGCAGCTGGTAGCTGCCTGAGTGAAGAGATGCCTCTAGCTTCAGTGGGCCAGAAGCAAGAGGCAGAGCTGAGGTCCAAAGTCGAGGGGGTTTCACACAGTCCCTAGAGGCTGGCACTTTGAACTTGGGCTTCTAGCCTCCCAAACTGTAAGAGAATTAACTCCTGTTTGTTCAAGCCATCCCATTTGTGGTATTTTCCTGTCAGAGCAGCACTACATAATCAGAACAATGACTCTCTTCCTGTCAGCTGGCCAGGGATCTGTCTTCCCAATTTCTTGGCAAAAAACAAGTAAGTGCCTCCAGTGTGGCATCTGTTTATTGAAACATCTCAGTGGTTATTCTGTCAATTCCTGGAACCTTGTTTTTTTTTCCACCCAATTAATTCCTTCAGTGCAGCTTGGACTTCTTTCTTCAAAACCATTGGTCCTTGATCATATGCTACCTCCTGAAATAGTTGAACATCAACCAATTCTTTTTGGTACAGTGATTCTGTGTATTTCTTCTATCGTCTTTTGATATTTTATGCATCATTCAATATTTTGTGCATACACTCAGTCCATGATATGGAACCATTCCTCAGTGTGATCAGCCAGCAACATGGTGGCAGGTTGATTACATTGGGCCATTTCCATCATGGAAAGGACAGCATTTTGTTCTTACTGGAACAGATACTTGTTCTGGATATGGATTTGCCTTCCCTGCATGCAATGCTTCTGCCAAAACTACCATCTACAGACTTACAGAATGCCTTATCCACTATCATGGTATCTCACACAGCATTGCTTCAGATCAAGGGACTCACTTCACAGCAAATGAAGTGCAGCAATGGGCCTATGCTCATAGAATTCACTGGTCTTACCATGTTCCCCATCATCCTGAAGCAGCTGGCTTGTTAGAACAATGGAATGGCCTACTGAAAACACAATTACAGCACCAGCTAGGTGGCAATACCTTGAAGGGTTGGGGTGTTCTCCAGGAGGCTGTATATACTCTGGGGTCTGAAGATCTTAGTCCCAAAGGAAGGAACACTCCCACCTGGAGACACAATACTGATTGCATTGAACTGCAAATTAAGAATGTCACCCAGCCATTTTGGCTTCCTCATGCCCCTGGATTAACAGACAAAGAAGGGCATTACTGTGCAATCTGGTGTGATAGATCCTGATTACGAAGGGAAAACTGGATTGACGTTACATAATGGAGGTAAAGAAGAATACATCTGGAATACAGGAGATTATTTAGGAATGTCTCTTAGTACTACCATGCCCTGTGATTAAAGTCAATGGAAAATTACAGCAACCCAATTCTGATATGACTGCTAATGGCCCAGACCCTTTAGGAATGAAGATTTGGGTCACCCCACCAGGTAAAGAACTATGACCAGCTGCTGGCTGCTGAGGCTGAGAAGCCCAAGGTTGACAAGTAAAAAGACACAGTCCCAATGTTAGAAAACCAGACATCAGGCCATTGATTTAAGTCAATTGTAAGTCCCAAGGTTGGGAGAGCATGGCAGGCTGCTGAACAATGACACAACTACATGCAGGGTCCAAGTATGCCATAAGCTAGAGACTATTCCCCCAAGGCTTCTGCTTATATACAGGAAGCAGACCACAATCTCTAAGGCAAGCTACTCAGCTGCTCACAGTAGATTCCACCATGGAGTTGATTATCAGTCTCATCATGGGGAATGCTACATCCAGCTGCCCAGCCACTCAACCAGGCCTAACCAAGTTGACACACAAACTGAACTACCACAATATTGCAACTGGAGGGCTGAATTTTTTCTTCAGTTCCTTTAGCTTGAGAAATGCCAAGTTTTTTCTTCCCTTTTGGTTTTCTAACTCTAGGTCTTTGCACATTTCATTATAATACTTTACTTTGTCTTCTTGAGATACCCTTTGAAATCTTCTGTTCAG